CTTTATCACCTATTCAGGTTGTAAATCGTGTTTTTAAAAAGTAACTAAGTAATTAATTACTTTTGAAAATTAGTTACTGATTACTTTTTTCAAGTAACTTGACCAACACTGACTTTCTGTGGTGTCCATTTCAATCTTCAATCTTCTAATTTTCCTTTTTATAGTTACAATCATAGTCCTGGAAGTAAAGTTTCAGAGAATTTGACATAAATGTCATTTAAGTTGTTTTTGAATTGTGGTTCTTCAAATATCAATGCAACCCAGTAAACTTATATCATAAGTATGATAGGAATCTAGCAGAGGAACTGCAAACTCCTGTTAGATATGAATAATAATGCCATTATTTTCATGTTTCTTATTTTAAATAAACCTCTGTTTATCTGTGCAAGAATCAGCACATAATTCAACCTCTGTCTCGAATTGTCCGGTCAACCTAAGAGGCCATAAGAAATCCCCGTCTACCAACTCCAAATTCCACCCCTAGCATTTACATTCAAATTACAGATTTGTTGAGTAATCAGAATCCACTCCATGACTCTCGCCCCAAACAATGCAATGAGAGGTAACCGCTGAGCAGAGTCATTTGGAGTCCAGTGTGCTAATACAGCCTTTGCAATGCAAGGGCAACATCTTAATCTCTTACCTCATTAAGTTGTATAATGTGGAATAAAATTCTCATTCCAAGCACAGGAGAGAAGAGTTTAAACTCCAGAGTCCAGCGTTATTTCCAGTCACTGTGGTGGAAAAATCCCACATGGACATCAGCAGGTGCATTGTGTGAAAAGCAACACACAGCAAGTGTAAGACCCTTTTATCCAGGCTTGACGTTATTAGCTGATTAATCCTTTCTTATTAACTCAAGGAAATAAACAGATAAAGAGATTGCTGTTGCATGATTGATTTGTAATAAATCATTATTATCTTATTTTTTATCGTTTTGTTTGTTTGTTTTTTTGGTACAGATCTCTGAACTTTTAAAATGTCATCACTGTAATCTTTCTAACCAGGTGGCAGCATTAAAAAAAGAAGGAACAAATACATCCACTGGAGAAATACAAAGAGTGAGTCTGTTTGTGAACATGATTTAGTTCTGTAAAAAACAAAGCCAAATTGAAAAACAAAAAAGCTAACATAACATTACGTAACATTTCCATCAGTAGGTTACACGATAAATAAATAAAAATAATAATAAATATATATGTAGATACATTATTATCCAGCTCTTTTCTTAACCACCTGTCGAGCTTGTGGTCAAGTGTGGGCAGGGGTGTAGCATGGCACCTGACCCATGAAATATGATTGCCTCCCTCTCTGGTGTTTAACTGCAAGTATTTTACTTTGAAATATTTCAACAAAGTACAATGTCATCTGCTTCCATACCACTTTATTTTGGGTGCAGTTGTTCTTCTTTGTACTCCATGCTACTTACTTTAAAACTTTAGTTAGATGGTGCTGATCAATTGCATTGTTATAGATCAAGCTACCGAGCAATATACAAATAATTAAAAACATCAACGGCTGCAGCATTAAAGTAATATGAACGTCAGTGAATCAATAATTATGATTCAATTTTGATTCTGGTGAGTATCATGATATCAGGACTACAGTATGTCATTCCATTTAATAATTGTAGAATTCATTGTAGACTAAAATCACACCTTTCTTGGCTGCTACTTCAAAGCACATTTCTCACCCCTTTCTCACTGTCCGTCTCCCCTTCTGTTTTTCTTTTCCTTCCTCTTTCTTTCTCCCTTTCCTATCCCTCACTCATGTCTGTCCCGTCTGTAACAACTGAAAATAAAATAAATAATAAAAACAAAGGTCGATCAAATGGACCAATACGGCAATGCCATGATGATCCATTTGGCAAAATAAATCCATTGGGTATCCTTGTTGGTCTTCAGACAACAATTCTGACGGCTAAAGAACCAAATGGGACAGGCAAAAAAATAAATTAATTAATTAATTAAAAAAATAACTGTACTTCAAATATACTATAGTGATCATACACCTTCTTCACTATAAAACTGCATAAGTATCAGTAATAAATCTACTTAAGTAAAAGGTTGAAATACTTTAACAGTTTGCAAAGCAAACATCCAACACAAGATTGTGTTTAAATTCTTATGTAGATCCACCAGGTACCACTCTCTTACGTTTATTTTATTTTTGATAAATATTCAGATTTCTTGGGTACCTCCCTTTTGTTGTGCTCTTGCCACCCCAAGGGCGCACCTTAAAAGGACCTTTACACCCAGTTTAAAATGACCAGTTAACATGTTCATACACATGAACTGTGGGAGGAAACCCATATATGTTCAGGGAGAACCTGCAAAAAAAAATCATACCAGGTCATTCAATTTTCTTGCTATGAAGAAAAAAAAAGTAATTTCTATTAAGATACACTGACAGCGCAATGTCAACTGTATTTAAACTTTTCTTCTGTAATGGGATCCCATCAAACTACACTCCGGCTTCAGTGACACAATAACAATTCATCCTGAGATATAGAATCTCTTGTCAAATATAATGGATTAGGACACAAATGGGCCATCTCATCGATCCAGTCTCAAGGGTGCTCTAAATTGTTTCACTACCACTTAAACGCTATGGCAGTGAAAGCAAGAGAGAGCCTCCACTCACCCTAATATAGCCCAGCGATGGTAATTAACAAACTAGATTTTAAATCTCAGAGAGACCGTTTAGGATACTCCAGACAGCCTTTAGTCCAGACGCCTTAGATTTTTCCTGCTTGCATCGCCAACACTCTCTCCGGGGCTTTGCCTGCTCCAGAAATTTCTGTAGGAATGCCTACGCATCGGCTCTGTCAGTCCCAGTGATCTTCAGGAGGAATGGCCCTGAAGAGATAAGGCAGTCGGACAATGAGCATGTCCACCTGGAAAAGCGAGATTCTCCATCACAGGGCCCGGGGTTACTAAGGTGTCAGTAGCTCTCCCACTGTGCTGCAGTGAAGAAGTGCCATATCCTCAGTGGTCCTTGGCAGATACAGAAGACCTCCTGGCACAGCTAGTGCCTCTGACTGCAGTGTCTGATTTTATTCTAAAGTGAGAATCCAAAATTAAAGCTGCACTAAGCAGGAATGTTACATAAAAAGGACAACGTGTCACCAGTGGGCAGCACTCAAAATGAGACCCAGGAGAGGAGCAGCGCTAGCACTTTTTACTTTGTGTCTGGACCTGCTGTTTATGGTCAAAGCACTGCTAGCTAAAGGCAATGCAAGTAAAAGCAAGCAAACTTTGTCAGTGGGTTTCGTCTGGAGGCAAGACAGTTCATTTACTCTGCTGACAGATACATGGAAGAAAAGCTGCGATTATCCCCTTGCTAATCTGTAACATGTCTATTTTTTAATGTAATTTGTGAACATGTGCCATTACATATATTCTAATGGTATATTTCTTTCAGCAAGTTTAAGTTTATCCTCTTCCTTTCTATATGTAACGGGTGTATTAGAAAATAATTTATATTTCACCAAAGATCCATCCTGCAGTGTTATCTTGCTTTGTCAGTATTGGTTATGTATATGTGTTTATTTATATATGTTTATTTTCTGTATTTATATTTTGGGAGCTTTTATTTTGTTTGTGTGACCTTTGACTTCCCGCGAAGTCACTTCCTGTAGCTGCGCGCTATTTTCCTCAGTCGCCTAGAGGCCCCGCTGAGGAGAGGTGAGCGTACGCTAGTGTTCTCAGTTACAGAGCGAATAAACACAGTTAAAGTAACTAAAAGTAATTCAAACACTGCTCGTTCCCTTTGTGCATTTTGTCTCACAGTTCTGTTTGATGTTTTAGTGTGAATTAGTTTTTCTGTCGAGTACAGCACTTTATTGTAACATGCTAGTTAGCCAATCTCAGATGAGAGCATAGGAGCATGCACGTGGCTTCTCATGTGGTCCGCTATCCTTCTCTCTCCCTTGAAGGTGTTCATGCAGAAGTCCAGTAGTGAAGTGAAGTCGCTGTACTGTTTTGTTTTTATTTTAAACAGTTCTGGGAGAATAAATCCATCCAGCTGGCAAAGTGAGAGCTGACTCCTCTGGTCATTCGCACAACACAACGCAGAGAACTAACGGCAATAAGAGTTCAAGGCCAGACCGGCTACATATAGCAACCCCAACCAAGCACAGGCTATTGTGTCACGGTGATGTTATAATTTGTCCAAGCATACTGAAAGCATACTGAAAATTTAAACTGCAGGCCTTTTAAATAAATAAATAATAATAACAACATAACTAGTGTGTGGTCCTTTGACCATGTCAGCAAACCAGCAGGACAGCTGAATGAGCCAAGACACGTAGACATAACTGGAGGAGAGGAAAGAAAAGGGAAAAGACTCAGATATAACATAAGCAGAGTTATGACTCTGGGCCACTGATTGCAACACTTATGGTGGTAAAGAAATTGTTATCCAAGTTCTCTCCAAATGTCTCAAATTGTGCATCTGGCTTAGTTGTTGACCTCAGTTTTTAAAATGCCTGCCTATAGCTATCGGTATGATGGCTTAGGCAGCGCCACTGTTAGCTAATGTTAGTTTACAACTGTTCTGACAATAACTGAACTCTGTGATTTAGCCATGCTGGTTCAAAGGATTTTGCACCTTATGGATTATGCTCATAACCCACATACCTAATTATATACTAGAGTGTTGTTGTGCCTTTCCTTGAAAACAAAAGTGTCCTGAACCATAATAAAATTCTTGAGCGAGGTACAAACCAGGCGAACTGAAAATGAAAGAGTGAAGTACAAACTTCACTAAATGGCCTCAACTGATAAGATTTTATTTTTTCCTACAGCTGACATTCAAGCTGACATTTAAGACTTTTATTTCTTTAATTTCTTACAGAATGTGACAGGTGTTTCGCTCAACACCTAGAAACTCACTAGATGGGAAAAACTTTCAGCTAGTGCACAGAAAGTCATCGCTACAGACAGAAGATTAGATACCAGTGTATGTCAAGCAAGCATTAATGGTTATTTGATATAAATCCGTTATTTTTTTTTATTCTTGAATGTATTAGCTCAATATCAGACTATGCACTGGAGCTTGGGAGAAGTTTTATTTGACACTTCAGCAGTATATAAATGGACTGTTCAAATATTAGACTTCTAAAGTTATAGCTAAACTTTAACCTCCTAAGACCCGAACTCTTCCACGGCATGCATTTTTAATTTCTCTTTGATATTTGGGCTGATTGGGACCTGATGAATGTAAAAACAAAGAATTATCAGATTTTTTTTTTTACCTAATTTTTGTTTCTAAGACAAATGAGAGCCACATATGAGGATATTCGTTTAAAATGTTGATAGAACAGTAGCAGTATAATGTCCTCGTAAGTGGATATCAGGCCCTTGTAGAGCAAAATTGAGTATTTTGGTCTAAATAACCCAAAATGTGATGTTCACATATGTGGACGCCAGGTCCTAGGAGGTTAAAAAACAGAAAAATAAGGGAATCAGTTACATTTTTCAAATCTTTGTGTATTTTCTGAAATTGCACCCTTAGAACAATTAACCAAAAAAAGAACAAAAAGAATAATAAATCAGTAGATACGTCATGTTTGATCACTCATCAAGTGATTTCTATAAATGCACATGAATAAACATATGGGAAAATGAAAGAAAAATTATTATTGCTTACAGGAAGTCTTTTAGACAATCTTGACAACTTGTGATTAATGCCCAGGTGGAACAGTCCCTCAAAACTCTGGCTTTTGCTACAGTCACACTAGGGAAAATAGTGTTTGGAGACCATCTAAAAACCAAGATTATTGCTACTGTGTGCAGTGAATTTGGATGTTGTTGCCTTTGAAATGGTTGCTTCAAAGACAGGGACCAGGTTTGTGAGAGGCAGTTCACTTTTGTGAGATTTTCTTGAGCCAAGATGGTGATAAAATGGTAAAAATCTCAGGCTGCTACCAGTTTGTGACTAATTTACAAACCGAAAAACTCTGAATGCAAGTAATGAATGTGAATTTCTGTGCATGCAGATGGCAACAGAGTTCCGTCAGAATCTTGTATATTTGAAACAGAAATTCAGAAAGTCCGTCACAAAGAATAACGTAGTTGCTATAGTTATTTGCAATCGGTTACTGAATGTGAAAAGCGAGGAGGACAGAGCCTTGCAAGACAGAGCCATTAGACAGCACAGGTAGTTACCGGTGTTCCAGTGAAGCATTCAGAGAAAAATTAAATATGACACGAGAAATGGTTTATCTGAGGAAAAATACAAAACTAAAAGA